TTGCCAGCTTCCAACAAGCAAAGTCAATGAGGAAGCTGGCAGGAAGTCGGAAGTTGCAGTCATGTGAAGTCCTCGCTTAAGGACAGCAACCAGGACTGCCTGAACTGCTGTCGCTAAGAGGCAAGGTCATGTGATATCACACTTTACGACCACATCACTTAGTGACAGCAATTCCGGTCCCAATTGCCATCATAAACTGAGGACTATCTGTAGTCTTGACTCTTCATGGGCAGAATCTGCAGCATGGCCTGGGTCAACATCTAGTGGAATTACTGGGACTCTTTTCAGCCTATGGAGCACAATGGAGAGGACCAGGTACTTGACCCATGCCCCTCCTGATTCCTACCAACAGCTGAGAGCCAGTGATGAGCTAGGTCTGGGAGATGATCAGGGATTCTTGATGTTGCCATCTGTCAGCACTTTCCATCATCCGCCTCAAAGGAAGCAGTGGGACTTCTCAAGGAGTCCTCCCTGACCCAAATTGTTATTGCTCAGTGTATAACCATTCTTTTTTCAAGGAAGGCTGGTGAGAAGGTGGTGGGGAGTTAGCTATAGAAGGCCCTTGAGGAAGTAGATTACCTAGATCTCTTTCAGTCTGGATTTAGGCATGAGTAGTGGATGGAAACAGCATTAGCTGCTATGGTGGATGACCTTTGTTGGGACCTGTGTCGGGCAGTATGCCTCTCCTGGTCTTATATGATCTTGCAGCAGTGTCCTGTCCTATTGACTATGGCTCACTTCTGGACCTGAAAGGGTTGGGAGTTGTGGTACTATGCTGCAGTGGATCCATTCTTTCCTAAGCAGACAAAGTGGTGGTAGGGAAGTGAGGTCACCGCAGTGGGTGTTCATTTGTGGGGTGTCTCAGGATTCAATCCTCTCCCCACTGGTGTTTAGCATCTATTAAAATCACTGGGAGAGCACATCCCTTAGTCCAGGGTGAGAAGGAGCAGGTCCATGACTTGGGGGTCCTTCTGGACTCACAGCTATTGTCAGAAAGGCAGCTGGAGGCTATGTCGTGGAGAGACTTTTGTACAGCTTTGGCTAGTATGCCAGTCATAGCCCTACTTGGAGCAGAAGACTGTGGTTACAGGGACTAATGTTCTCATCCCCATCTTTTTGAATTATTGCAATGCGCCTTAGATGAGCCTGCTTTTGAGGACCACTTGAAAAGTGCAACTGATCCAAAATGCAGCATCTCACTTGTCTGTGAATGATAGCCACCACAGTCAAAACGCAGGTGTTATGACACACTGTCTTATTAACACATTATGGTTCTTGGATTGGTTGCCAACAGAGTTCTGGGTACATTTCAAAGCATTGGCTTTAAGCCATAAAGTTCAATGTGGCTTAGTTCCTGTGTATGCAAACGGCCCATCTTACGCATGCTTCCCAGCAAACTGTATCAGTGGTCTTCAAGTAGGAGAAGTAAAGAGGGCAGAGGCTTACAAAGAATGCTTGGCCCATATGCTATGGAACAAACTCTCTCAAGGCTTAGTGTTTCCTCTAATGACCTTCAGGAAGTAATTAAAAATGGAATTGCAAGGTGATGGGTGACCACCATCTGTATCTTTATTTTAGGATACTATGTTTTACAATATTGATTTACGTTTTTATGGGTATAAATTGCTGGAAATCTCTAGGTTCTTTTGTGTACCTTTGAGTCAGTGTTGACTATGAATGAAGAAAGTAACTCTATCAAGAGGGTTGCTTCAGCTCTTCTATTCATCTCCATCTCCCTACTTTGGTTCCATCCATTATTCTAACCATCTTTCAAATCAAAGAGTTCGTACTCTATTCCTTCTGATTCGTTTTTACATATGGAATGTGGAGTAATCATGTGATGGACACACATCTAGCCCAAATGGCTAAATCCCCACACTTGCTTCTGTTGAAGCCAAAGTTGACATCTTGTAATACTCCATGTACATTTACTTTCAATTCACTCCTTGGAGGCAATAGCTAAAAAGTCAAGGAACTCACTGCTCTCAAACTTTTCCATCTTGGCATGGTTATATACCAGGTTTCCTCACGGAGACGTGCATAATTCAGAAATATTCCCCATGGAATACATGAAGTAAAATGATTTTACCCACCAAAAGCACAAATAAGGATGGTCTGGACTACATATTCTACCTACCCAGAGCAATCGCAAAGTTAAGAGTACTGGGTATAACACAACCAAAAGTAAGCACAGAAAGCTCATTTATTGCAATAGAAGAATGCCAGGCTCTCATTTTTCCATTAAAAAAATATACATAACTAATTTAAAATAAAAGTACCAGAACTGTCTATTACAAATGGATATTTATCAGCTAATGCTATTTCAGGGTGGCCAGCTTGAAGCATTTCTCGTTGCTTTCACCTGAGTAGAACCAAGGAATTGGTCTGGAAAAGCAGGATTTGCGTAGCTCTTCATTTCCAACTAAAAGGCAGCTCTAAATATAGGAACTATATTCAGGAGAACAGAGCAAGTGGGGAACAGAGTGGTGGTTCCCCGGATCTGCTGCCAAATCATGGAGCTCCCCTATCCTGCAGAGCCAGCAGGGCCTCAAACCTGCCAGGTCTTTGCAGATTTATCTGAGGACTTCTTGGTTGGTTGACATCTGTTCAAAGGAACAGTAATCTGATCCAGGGAACACTTCTCCGGAAGCCAGCAAGGAAAGTAGGTTCAGAGGGGATGGTAGATCTGCATTTTATTCTGTTTCTACACATTTGCACTGCGGCAATGAATTGAACATATGCAAGTGTTTGCTTGAGATGCTGAAACACTGCCATCTACTCTCCTTGGCCATTTTCTTGCTCAGATCCTTGTGCTTCATATGCAGTACGGAATCATACTATCACTATCACTGTCACATATACCCCACTATCAAACACCTTAAATATTAATCCACCTAGCAAGATAAAGTGTGACAAGCTTTTTTCAACAATATGCACGCTTATTATATATGTTCTTCTCTGTATGAGGGAGGCTTCCAAAATTCAGACCTTTCCCCAGTTCTCTAGATCACACTGTGTTTTAAATGATGCTCAGTTCATCCTTAATTTCCACCTGACCTATTTTTCATCTTCCTCCTGTGCTCAACTGTGATGTTTTTGGCACCTTCCCCTCCAATATACACTTAAGAGTGGCTTTTATTTGGTTTAGAGTGGAGAAGATATAATGAAATGCTTTGGCTGCTTCTAAAGAAGTTCTCAGTAGGCTAAACATGGCCCTTTGGCCTCAATCCAGAGATAGCTTTCAATGGGAGGACTCACCACATGTCTGAAGAGGACCCTTCACACCATCCCACTGCTGGGAGAGGAAAAGGGATCAAGGGAACCCTTGCTTGTCTGAGCTTTTGCTATCGCCAAACTAGCATTGGCCAAAATGGTCCTTCATAGGGGCAAGGTGAAACAGATCAAAAGAGGCTTGGGGGCAATTTATCCTTGCATGTCAAAGGAGATTTGGGGGGGGGGAAAAGAGGCATTCTGGCCCAGTATCCAGAACACATATTTGGTACACAAACTTGTCCTTTTTCAAAAGCAGACCAACTTGCTTCACTACATGGCCCTAGTAAGATTGACTGACTCCATCCAGGTCTGCTGTATGCTTGCAATCTTCTACCAGACACCTTCTACCAGACCCACTCACAGGTCAATTCCTATCCTACAGATGCAAAACATGTGGTCTGGGTCCATCTGCAGCTCACCAACAACTCTTCTGTTGCCCAAGATTACATGGGGGCCAAATTATGATGGGGATGGGTGGGTTAGGAGCTCTAACAGGAAAATAGGTGCCTCTTAAGGAGTTATTTTCACTCCTTAAAATGCTTGACTCCTTCCAAAATAGGTTCTGGACACTCCCCAACTTTTGACTGGCCAAGTAAGGCTTAGAGTGGCCCCTGACTGATGTTCTATCCTGCCTCTGGCAGAGGGAGAGAGAGGGAGAAACTTTACACTTCACTGACTTCAAGCACCAACAGCTTCCAGGCAGAGCACAGCTGTGCTGCCAACTGTAATCTTTAGTCGCCTGTGCTTGACCTAGTTATGTATATCATGCAAGATCCCAGAAATAAGCTGTTTTCCCTGATGCATATTGGTGAATGTGCATATATCTAGTACAGCTTTATTTTACTACATTTATAACCTGTATTTCCCCAGGAGCCCCCCATTATCAGCTTGGGGGGATGATTTGCCCAAGACCATGCAGTGGGAAATGGAGGGCTTTGGTTGGAGGGCTTCCATCTATGAGTGCTTCGTTCCTGAACATTTTGTTGTGTCAGGAATGATCAGTTTGTGTGTCCCCTGATGCAACAGGAAAGAAATGTGAAATGAATATAGGAATCTTCCTCGTGTGTATAAGGTAGCACTGAGTTGAAACAAACTCCACTTGGTCATGGAATTAACCTATTTTCTGGGTTTGGACAATGCACTGAACAATTAATGAAATCTTTTGCTGCCACAAAAAGACTAAAGTCAACGCTGTGCTGTTGTGCAAACATACATCAGGTAGATCTCTCCCTAACGTGGTGAACAGTATTGTGCAAATCCAAGCAGCGCCTTTATGTGGAAAAGAGGGTTTGTGTTATATCAGATTTTTCTACAACAGGCAAGAAATTATTCTTTTGCCTTCAGGAATGCATAGGAAATTATTTCCATTAAGAGAGGGAACATTACGTTGTGCTGAAACAGTTCTTTATGTGTTTCTGGCCTGTCTGTATGAGGTATCTACAGGCAGGCGCTTGTGACACATGAGCTCCACGCAGGGGCTTACCCATCCTGGGCTCGGGCCAGCTCTGGGCAAGGTTTCGGCAGTCCACAATTGTGTTATGAAATGAGATTCCCATTGCAGACGGAGAGCCTACAGTCCAAGCCATCTCTCCATCTGCAACGCAGCGGCTGAAGAAGACAGCGTGCTGGCTGCAGTCCCTTAAACCTAGAGCCAGCTCCTGGGCCCTCCCAGCCTGCAGCCCTCGCTAGAAAAGCTCCCGAGAGCCCAAAGGCCAGCCGTGCCTCACCTGTGGCGGCAGCGCCGTAAGAACCGCATGATCTTGCGAGCAGCTTGGTCTTGTTTCTTGGTGAGCAGGCTGCTTCTGTTGAAAAGGAGAGAAAGAGGGACAGGAATAAAATGTTGGGTGACTAGGAACACACAACATTTGGAGAGGGGGGTATCAAGAGCCACAGTTGGTAGAATTGATGTCTCTCTCTCTCACATACAGCTGGAGCTAGATTTGTTTGTTTTTAAAACTGTTTATTAAAACTTAAACAGCCCTAAAACTTATACTTCAAAAGGGTGGGAACCTGTGCTGATTTTGGGGGCAAAGGGGACTATAAAAAAGGGTTCAGATACCTTAGACTGCCTACCCCTGCTTTGAACTCTATGGCTGGGGTTCACACAACTCAGTGAACCAGGAATGAAAGTAGGTCCTGACCTATGTGGTGTTGGTTTCTTAGTCTGGTCTAGCTTGTTGAGTTGACTCCAGGCCAATTAAAAACCTCACTGACACAAAATGCTGAAGTTTGCGAGTTTTAACCCTTTTTTGTGTGTCTTTTGGTGGCTGAGCTGGATGTGCAGACCCAGCTTACTTCAGCCTTCCATACCCCTTAGCCTCATGCAACTTCAAAGACTACCTTGTATTTTCATAAGAGCAAAAATTCTTGTTTCCAGTTTAGGAGATCAGAAGCAAAGCAGCAAAATGGGCAGGTGGGCTCTATCCTCTACCCCATCTTAACTGCCTTATGACTCTTCCTAACTATCACATACTACTATTGTTGGTTAGTGTCTCTTAACAGGTTACATTACTTGAAATTCATTTTAAAAGATCTTATACCCCAGAAGGCAGGTTATTAAAAATCACACTGAAAGAAAGAAATAGTTCCTCATTTGGTGGCCACCTCATCTGCCACTCAGAAACAGATCCAACCTCTATCAATTTAGCCTAGTGGGCTGCACAAACCCAGCTGATCAGAAGTTTCATAATCCCTGAACAGAGACTTCACTAAGCCTCATCTTCCTGTTCCTTCTCCACCACCACCTCTGGGAATTGGTCCAGAAGTACCACCAGAAGAGCCATCCTTCATGGTCAATAGGAGCAGGACTCTCTTGGTCCAGTCTCCATACTCCACAGCACCCAAGCTGGCCTCATGGGACAGCTAATTTTGATCCCAGCTACTGGAATCAAGGAGAATTTGATTTCAAAAACTTCACACAAAAGGCCTGTTAATCCTTCTTGATGAAAGCTACCCTCTTCCTGCTCCAGTACATCTCTGGCATCTTCTTAAAAGAACTCAAGCATAATTGTTCTCCATGTTTGCTCCACTGAAGAATGGGGCAGAAGGCAGAATGTTGGTCTACCTGTGGATTACCTTTCCCTTACCCTGCCAAATCTATTCTGCTGCTTAACTGCCTCCCCACAGAAGAAAATCCTGAACAGACATTATGCCTTGTGGATTGTGAATAGTAGAACTGCACTGATGGAACATGTGCCTTGAAGAGTATCCGGAAGCTACAGCTGGTGCAGAATGCGGCGGCGCAGACAGTTCTTAA